CCTATCGTCGGTTGCACCGTGCACTGCCGCTTCTCCAAGCCGGGGAATGGCTGGCCAACATGCACCCGCTTCGCCCCTCTTTTGTCCCAGGTGTCTTCCTGTCCGGTCACGAATCCCAACGGTACCTGGTCTGTGTTGTCCCTCAGCTCCTTCACGAAGCGCCCCCACTTGCCGTAGGGTCCTTCGTAGGGGATCAGCGCCCCTGGTTGCTCGACGGATCTTTCGTCCGAGACAGGTGCTTGTGGCTCCCATGGGATCACCTTCCCTCCATGTACACGGGGCTGTTGGAGGAGCTTTCGGAACTCCCTGTGCCATTTCCGGATCTTCGGCAGTCTCTCCACCACAGACTTGTTCTTGGTCGCCCACGTTTGGATCCTTCGCCGCTTAGACAGCGAGCGCTTCGTCGCCCACTTTTGCGCGAACCGGAAGGGCGGCCGGAATGCCTTTGCTCGTGGATCTTGGGGGTACCTTTCCATGATAAGCTTTTTGAATGTGACCGTGATCCATCTTGTCGAGACCCGCAGCTTCCTCTTGCGTCGTGCCAGCAACATCCTGTATAGCTCCTCCGCGTCAGGGAGNCGCGCAAGGTGTACCGTCTCCTCGAGGCTGCTCCACACGTTTTCTTTGGTGGCGACTCCGTTTGTGAAAAGCCGTCGTTCACGAGGTTGTTGTTCCGCTCGGCTCCAGGGCGTAAAGGCTGCAGCACAAACGTCACGGACCCTGGCGGACATGTCGCGCCGCATCCGCGACTCGCTCCATGGTGAAACGCAACGTGCCAGCAACGTCCTGAAGGTGTCCCACCCCAAGGGAGGAGAGATGATGCCCCCGCCCCCTTCCTGTTCGTTGAACACCACCGTTGAACTGAGATCTTCGCTTCACGCTCGTGGTCAGCTTTGATGTGCACCCCAAGGCCCTGGGTGTTGAACAAACGACGGTTGCACTTCGTGAAAGGCACTGTCGGTTGAGACGGTGGAGGCGCGGCGAAATTGATGTTCGTGATTCGTGATCTCCTCCGTGCTGCCGTCCCCACGCGTACGCACCACCTGCACAGAAATGGGGGAGGGAGGGCATCGGAGGGCGGTGGTATTGTTCATTCCTGCTCGAGTTCATTATTTGTTGCTAGAAAGACAGCAACATAAACTCGTTCAACAAAGAGTGCTGCCGCGGGTAAGGCCAGCACAGAAGCATGTATGAAGACGCATGTCTCAAAGGGTTGACAAAAAAAGAGACGAACCTGGTACGGAGGCTCGCTGGCGACATACTGCTACAGACATGTTCTTGCCATTAGGTGCGTGCAAAAACGGCTCAAAAATCATTTTTATGCGGCATTTCAACAATAAATTAAGTGTTGGGATCATTCACGTGGTTCACAGCAGCACCGGTATGACGCAAATCGAAGACAAAGAATAGCAGAAGAACTCACGCAAACCGAAAGAAGCTCACAACACAGAGCACTCGATGCCAACAATACATACATGTATGGTAGACGTTAATGTGTATTTTGGACACAAAAAAAAACAAAAACAACACGGACACAGGGAGTACTCCCCCTACCCATACACAACACCGTCAAAACTGCTTGTAAGCTATAATAGAACAACCTCTCATTCCTCTCTTCCCGCATACTTTTCTTCGCACTTTGCCTTTTTGTCTTTTTCTCTCTTTTCTGTGCGAGATGTCCTTGTCTCTGCTTGCGTTGTGATGTACAAAAATTGAACCAAGGGGTGTACCTCATTCACTCTGGCCCGTGATGGTGACCCTAGTCTCAGTTGTTACCTCGTGCAAGCGCGCAGAGGGAATGGAGGACTCCAGAATATCTGTCGTTGAGTTCTATGGACTTGCGGACCCCTCGGGGCAATTTTATCTGTTGAGTGTATGTACCTTTGAAGGGCATGTCAACCTGCGACGACGGGAACCGACCACGTCGAATGTTGGATCAGTACGGACATACGAAGGTACCGGGTAGAGAGAAATCGGAACGGTTTTTAATGTGAAGACAACAGCCACCACAACAACTATAATAACAACATACAA